TCAGATGGTTTAGGATAATTTAGAGTGCATTCTCGTTGACAAATCTGTAGTGACCTCCCATGCACCCGACTGAAATACTCTTCCTGGCCTGCGCCGCCAGCCGGCCATCATGTGCGGACACACGACGATGCCTGTCGGACGCGACTCACTAACCGTCGAATTTGCGGCTGCGTCCACGTCCGTGTGCAACCTCTCTCGGTGTGGAAAATTACAATCAAGGCTGACTAAGACAAAGGTAGCTTTCAGTGGCCGCTCGGATGTCTGCCGCTAGACATCACTTCGGACCCGAACCGACTAGGGAACGGACTGCACATGCCCGAGAGTCAAATCTCATCCTACCGATTTTTCTAATCTTTCTGTACAGAATAAACTCTTCTTACCACTCTGTCCCTCCAAAGACTTCTATTTCCCTTAAGGAACCGAGCCTGAAAGACTGCAGCCGTGAGGGTTAACTCTATTAACCTTAACGCTACGTCGATAGGCCTCTGCGGTACACTTGAGATTTTCATGTCATCAGGAAGCGGTGAACTGCCCGCTTGTCTTCGAGAGCTATGGTCAGCAAATCCGTCGTGTACGATGTTCTTTTACCTAACCCGTATTAACATTTTGATAAAAGGGATGCCTCTAGGAATTGCACCATTTCGCTCTTAATGCTCCGTTGCAACATCTTGGCGAAGAGGTAAGTCAAGCTTTTGTTTGTCACCGACACTCAGCCACCGCTGTTCTGTGGGAGACTTATATGCGCCAGATTCCCTTTGGCAGGAAGTGTCCCATAGTCAAATGAAGTTCAAAGGAGCATTTGCAGGGGTTCACAGAGTTCACTGGCAAGTTCTTTGAGAAGTTCAGGGGGATTTAGCAGGGTCCTGGAGATTCCGAGTACATTCCCTACTCTAATTCCCATCGGGTAAGAATTTCTGAAAAGAGGACATGTCAAATCCTTACAGTCAGCAGATAATTTGCGGAACGTCGAAAGAACGTTGTGTCATTTGTGTATACTGATCAAAGTAACTGAGGAAGTTTCTTGGCTTTAACTTTGTTCTCAGCGTCTTCGGTGCTCAAGATAGTCGTTATCATTAAAATTTAGCATCTATTCCTTGTCCTTATGCGTAGGTAGCCGTAGGATGATTAAGAATTGTGCGATGTTTTTGTAGCAAATTCTTTTCCAATTCCAAGCACCTTTTACCGCTATGTTTCTAAATATGTTTCTCCAGGTCTTATAATTGTTGAAGTCATGGACGTGCTTATTTTCCTAGTATTTTCTGTACAATTTACACTTTCTGATGACCTCCTTTCTTAAGTTTTATGTTGGTCACCCAAGTCACGTGAAAAGTACTTGTTCTAGTGAACAGTCTTCAGTAGGCAGTGGCTGTCGAAGGGCTATGGAATTAAATTTCTTAACAACTCCCAATCTTCGTTTACATTGTCTGTAAATATTGCGATGGAGTTACGGTCCGTTAAAGTTACTTCAACTTTGTTCAAATTACGACACCAAATGACTTAATTTTTTGTTTATAGTAGGCAAACCAGGGAGTAGCATCAGCACTACATGGTCACTTCGACGTTGTCTCATGGATTAATAAGTTGCGTACGCGAAGACACAAATCGGTTATACTGCTTCCCTTTTTCCTTATACCCAGCTGTCCACAGAAAGAAAAAGTTCGCTTTCATGAAAAGAAAGTAATCTCTCCCTTCCAGTCCTTCTGATTGCCTTGTACAGAAGGAACTTCGGACAAAAAAATACAGTATCAACGAATTGGGAAACCATGACTACCCCAGTCAATTGATTCTCATAAAGATATAAATAGATTAATATAGTAAGTCATGATCGCGGTTAGACAAATACACAAGTCATAGAAAGGGTTTTGGGCATCTAAATTAAAAATAGTGGCGTAAACTTATATTGGCAGGCTATTAAAGATAAAGCGAGGAATACCTAAAAATCATAACTGAAAACATACTACGGCCTGTAAATGGGTAGCCAGTTGTCAGAAGAGATAATAGGAATGGACAGAAAACAGGATATAATATCCTCAACTTTTACTAGGCCGAAAAGAAGACAGGCAAAACAAAGATAATCGCAAGTCTCAGCTACGATTGTTTTTAACCGTCAGCAGTCCTCGTCCTACTGTCTTAGCACTCCTCTCACCGTTGTTATTTTCC